GTATTGTGTAAGTCATGTAGTATTATTCTTCATCACTATTATCACAAAGAAATTTATTTATACAAAATGGAAGCTACTTAGGCCATCGATGGCCTGGACTTCACTCTACTATAGAGTAATATGAAACATCGGTTTTCAGCCCTTATTTATATATTTTACTCTACATCAAATATATTATTTTTATATTCTTTATTATTTCAAATAAATTGGTATATATATATATGTATATATAATCTTATATAAATATTTATTAACCAAATAATAAAAATATATATATTTTTTTCAAATGAATTGGTATATATATGTAAATTTAATTTAATATAAAATGTTTATTACCCAAAGAAAAGAAAATTAATGTGGCTGTTATATGTGTATTTAAGTTAATTATTATATTTGAAAATTAACGTGGTTGTATATATATACATCAATAACACAAAGAAAAGAAAAACAATAATATATATATAAAGTTGGTGAATAGTACAACTCCACATCTCGCGTTGCACTGTACAAAGCATCAAAGTAGCGTGAAAAAATTGTGCCGTGTTGGAGTGAATTTACGCCAAATTTTTAGCGTCTTACGCAACTCCAACGCTGCATTGGAGTTGGTCTTAATCTTCGCCTCGGACTGGACACCCCACATATATTCTGTCTTTTTTTTTTTTTTTTTTTTTTTTTTTTTTTTTTTTTTTTTTTTTTTTTTTTTTTTTTTTTTTTTTTGCAATGTATATCAGGATTTTATAAATCTGTTTGGGACAGCTCAACTTGGATAATGATGATGAGGTGAAAAAACAAAATCAACTGTTAATTAATTATATTTAGGATCATTAAGAAGGGAAGAGAGATATATGAACCTTAACTTGGATAATAATGATGATTTGATAGAACAAAGCTCCATTGTTGAATAATTATATCAAGATCGGTGTGACTAATACGATTTTGATATGAAGCTAACAATTGACTCTATAGTACTGCAGCCGTCCTTTTATATACAACTAATAAATCATACCATATTAATAAAATTATGTTAGTGTTATTTAAATAATCAGATAATATGATAAATTTACTTGTTTTATATAAAAGGTTGACTTTACTATGGAGCCAATTGTTGGCTCCATAGCAAAACCGGTGACTGATAATGTCAATAATCTTATGCTATGATTATGATGGGTACAAAGAAAATCTATCTTTGCTATTCTTGGTTAAGTATGAAAAGAACATTGTCCAATATATATGTAAAATCATTGAACATGTCAAGTACCGACATATATGTTATATTCAAATCCCACTAATAAAATAAATCTCAACTATGATGTACAACATATATAGTTTTTAGTTTTTATTTTATTTTTATTTGCATTCATCAGCATACGTCTGAATGACATAACACTTGTTAAAGTTCAGAATTATAGTATGGATGCTACGAATCATGTGGTTTTAATTAATAATTTCATGATGAAAAAAAAATTTATTAACTACTTAAAAAGGATAAGCGCTATAAGCCATGCCACCAGATACTGCCACAATAACATGATCAAGAATATGATAAAATTCCAACGGAAATATATTTCAATAGAATGATTTCGACGACAATTTCAACGGATATTACATTACTATTATCTCCGTTGAAATTTTCAATGGTTTCTAACGGAAATTTCAACAAAAATATTATGTTAGAATATATTTTCCGTTGAATTTTAACGATTCCAACGGCGGATTTTTCAAGGGGGTGGAAATAAAAATTCCTACAGGATTTGCATATTCCAACGGTAAGAAGCCGTTGGAAATATAGTCGTTGGTATCATCAAATTCCATCTAAAATTCTAATGAAAAACACATTCCAACGAAATATTTCTGCTGTAATTTCCGTTGGAACTATTCCAACGGAACCTATACCATTAGAATATCCATTAGAATTTCAATTGGAATATATTATCATATGATTTTTCGTTGGAATATAACAATTTTTTTCTAGTGGAATTTAATAATTAATTTCATTACGATAAAAAAATTATCTTGTACTTAATGAACAAGAAGAAGGTATTCAATTCTCTCTCTACTTGGGAGCTAGGGTTTCCCCTTTTGGGACTTTCATTCCTCTTCTTGAAGGTATTTATTGCTCCATTTGGGACTGGATTAATCTAATTACCAGGTTTATCATCATCGATCTCGTTCTCCTCTTTCTTAAGTTTTTACCTTTTTTTTTTTTTCTTTCTTACCTCTATATTACTGTCGTGCTCTGTTTGCTTTGTTGTGGGTTTTACTGTAGGCTCTCTTAATCTCTCTCTCTCTCTCTCCATCCCCTGAGCTCAGTCCTTCAATGGAGGAGGATATTCTCCTCAAACTGGATAACATAGAGCTTGCGGAACATGAAGCCGCGACTATCCCGATAATTACTTCAGATATTCGAAAAAGCGCAGATGAATGCAGTCGGAGCTTATTCGAAAAAATTCATGGTACAAAAAAGGCCAATATTGCAGGACTTAGGCGAGCCTTAAATCACTTATGGCAAATCAGATCTTCGGTCTCAGTCAGGGAACTAAACCCTAATTATTTCCAATTTATCTTTTCCGACAAAGAAGACAAGGTGAAAGTCAGTAAAGGTGCCAACTGGACTTACGAAAACCAATATCTGATCCTCCAAGAGTGGGCTGAAGGAATATCAGAAAACCATCCGGGATTCCAAGAGGTGGACATTTGGGTGCAAGCTTGGAATATTCCCCTACACTGGCTATCATCTGAAGTGGGGATTAAACTCGGAAGTGTTTTTAAACAGGTCAAAGACGTATCGGTTCCCCAAGGAGGCAACCTCGCGGGCAAATGCTTGAGACTTCTGGTCACTCTTGATGTAAATAAACCCCTTCTCAGATGCACTCATATCCAATTGGAGGAGAAGAAGATACTAGTCCAGTTCAAATACGAGCGTCTGGTCAGCCTATGCTTCTATTGCGGACACCTGGGACACTTAGATAGAAATTGTGATAAGAGGATGGCAGACATAGCAGCTGGTAATCTAAGAGAAGGTCTCTATGGAGACTGGCTCAAAGCCACGGAATCCTTCTTCTCCCACCATATTAACTCCTCTCACCCCAACCCTAGCCCATTATCCTACACAGACAACCCAATTAATGTTAGCCAGATTGACCCAATTGCCAGCCCACCGCTAGAGCCCACTCTCACCTTGTCTACAAAATCTCAAACCCCCCATAAAAACACCCAAGCTAATCTTACCCCCTTACCCCATGAACCCCAAATCATTTCTAAACATATCTCAACCTCATCACAACCCCTTGTCTCTAATCATATCACTGCTTCTACCCAACCCCTTGCCATGAAAACAGTACCCCATATCCTCACTACTAACACAAGCCCAGTAAATGCAAACTCTCCCGAGAATACCATGGATCCTCAAGCCACGGAGACTGAAATTCCCCAAATCCCCCAAAACCACCAATCAAATTCAATTGATACCAACCCCTCCCCTGCCACTAATCAATCCACCCCACCCATCAACTCTCCAAAACCAAAAAGCTGGAAAAGGAAAAACAAGCCAATTACCACCCCCTCTACTGCTGATATTGCCCAAACAAACTCCATGGGGAAAAGACAACTCATTGAAATCCAAATCTCTGAAATTAACCCAGATGACCCTACACCTCTCATTCCTAACCAGTCCAAGAAGCAAAAAACTGATCAAATGGTGATGGAGGCCAGCCAAAAATGGCCCCGCAGTGACCAATGAATGTGATGGTGTGGAACTGTAGAGGTGCGGGTGGCCCCTCTACAGTTTCCCAGCTCAAGGATACATGGAGGCTCAATCACCCAAAATTTTGCTTTCTGTCAGAGACAAAAAAAAAAAATAATTATATTGCTACTGTATGTAAAAATCTAGGGGTTAAGAACTCTTGGGCCTCAGTTGAACCGAATGGTAGAAGTGGCGGTCTGCTTCTCTGTTGGGATGAGGAGGTTCCTGTGTTTCAGATTGTTAAGCATTCTTTTTGCATGGAAGTTGAATATTGGGATGAATGTATATCAGCTGTCTGTTGGGGAATATTTATCTATGCCAGTACCGAGCCTGCTCACAGAAAAGATCAATGGGAATATCTCATCTCCCAGAAAGCTAAATGGGGAACTCACTGGTTCTTGGGTGGAGATTGGAATGACATTCTCTACAAAGAAGACAAAAACGGGGGAAGGGTAAGAAGCAACTCCTCCTTAAAGCCCTTCAGTGACTTTATATCTTGCATGGCTGTTCTAGAGATTCAGATGCTCGGCCACCCCTTCACATGGGGTAATAACAGAGACGCTGAAGGATATATAGAGAAAAATTGGACCGTTTCTTTGGCTCTTTTGACTGGCTCAGTGCCTACCCCAATGCTCAGTCCCACAACATCTTCAGAAGCTCCTCGGATCATGGCCTTATTCTCCTGGAATGCAAGCCTTCTATTGTTCGAAAAAAAAAAGCGATTCTACTTCGACAAAAGATGGCTGGATAAGCCAGACATTTCAGAAGTTATTGATAAATCATGGCAGATCAATCATGAAGGAACTCCCATGTTCAACTTGCTCTCCAAAATCAAGAATACCCGAGTTGAAATTCTTAAATGGAGCAGCACTTTTAAATCTGACAATGCCAAAAAAATCGAGTGCCTTAACAGACAGCTTGCTGCTCTTAGAGACTCTGGTGGCTTAAGGGATTGGAACCAATGGGACGCATTGAATAAAGAACTTCATAAGGCATACAAGATTGAGGAAAAGTTCTGGGAGCAAAAAGCCCGAGTTTCTTGGTTAAAGCAAGGAGACAAAAACACCTCTTACTTCCATGCTCAGACTCTCCATAGAAGGAAGAAAAATCAGATCTCTAGACTTCTCAAGGACAATGGTACAATATGTGAAAGCAGAGATGCAATATCGCACTGCATTGAAGATCACTTCAATCAGCTCTTCACCACAGAAGGAACATGAGATATCATCCTTCATCTTCAAGGGATCAGAGCTGTTATCACAGGGGAGGCCAACAGAGAGCTCATTGCACCAGTGGAGAGAGAGGATATTAAGGAAGCTCTTGACAGCATTCACCCCAGCAAAGCTCCGGGACCAGATGGTATGACATCCCTCTTCTTCCATAAATTTTGGCCTATTATTCAAGATGATTTTTGCAACTCTGTGTGGAGTTTTTTTAGCTCTGGCAAATTGTTGAAAAGCCTCAACCACACCCTAGTCACTCTCATCCCCAAATGTGCAAACCCCTCAAAAGTGGAGCATTTCCTATTACCCTTTGTGGAGTGGTCTATAAAACTATCTCTAAACTCATAGCTAATAGACTGAAACCCCACCTTCCTGCTTGCATCAGTGAATTCCAATCTGCTTTTGTTTCCCATAGACAAATTTCTGATAATATTATAATTGCCCATGAAGTTCTCCACTATCTGAACAACCAGAGAAAAGGCATGAATTATGTTATGGCCATTAAGCTGGATATGTCTAAAGCTTTCGATAGAGTAGAGTGGGGTAGTGTGAGTCATATTTTGTTAAAATTAGGATTTCATAAATCTTTTGTGATTTGGATTATGTCCTGTATCTCTTCTTCTTCTTTTTCTTTTAACATTAATGGTGAGCCTTATGGTTTTGTTGCTCCTTCTAGGGGTATTAGACAAGGGGACCCGCTCTCTCCCTATATCTTCATTTTAATTTCAGAAATTTTCTCCCACTTGATTTTATCTGCTATGCACAGGGGCTCCTTCCTTGGTATTAAACTTAGTCCTCATTGTCCTACTCTCACTCACCTTTGTTTTGCCGACGGCACTCTCTTGTTTACCAAAACATCCCCTGATCAAGCCACTACTATTCTTAACATTCTTCAGATATACCAAAGCATCACTGGGCTAAAAGGTCAACCGATCCAAGTCCAGCATCTTTTTCAGCAAAAACACCCCCCCTCACCTTAAACATTCCATCTGTTCCATCCTTCTTGGCATCACATAACAAACTTCCTCTAAATACCTTGGGCTGCCATTAGGGATTGAAAAATCCAAGCTGGAAACTTTTGCATATATTGAAAACTCTGTTAAAACAAGAATCCTTAATTGGAAATCCAAGTTTCTATCATTTGCAGGCAGGGAAATTCTTCTTAAGTCAGTACTGAATGCCATCCCCACATATGCTATGGCCTGCTTTTTACTGCCAAAAGGAGTCAACACCAAAATGGCCTAACATTTTGCCAAATTCTGGTGGACACAAGGGGACACATCTAAGCATGGCATTTACTGGAAAGCTTGGAACTAGATCACTATGCATAAAGACAGAGGAGGACTAGGCTTCCCTGACCTCCACATGTTTAATAAGGCAATGATTTCTAGGCAACTATGGAGGATCATGTCCCAACCCCAGCTACTGGTCAGCAAACTCCTTAAAGCCAAGTACTTTCCAAGAGAAAGCCTATTCACAGCCTCCAAAAAACATAACTGCTCTTGGTTATGGAGCAGCTGGTTCAAAGTGAAAGATGACTTTATGAGTGGTATCAGATACAAGGTAAACAATGGGCACAAGATTATAATTTGGGCAGACCCTTGGATTCCTCAAATTCCAGGCTTCAGACCTCAAGGTAGAAATCCCAGACCAAGCAGCTTCACTCATGTCTACCAGCTAATGGAGTCTAATGGAAGAAGATGGGACAGAGACATCTTGAAGGAACTTTTCACTGATCAAGAGCAAAGTGCAATCCTCAAAATTGATCACTTAGACCCCCACTATGAAGACAAGCTCATCTGGGACATGGAAAAAAATGGGGTATTCTCGGTAGCCTCATTATATGACTCTCTGGCAGAGGAGAAATGGAAAAAATTGGACCTTCCAGAATCAAGTGCAAATCAAAAAACAGCTAAAAATACCAGGAAAAAGCTGTGGAGACTCCCAATCAAAGGGAAAATCAAGCACTTCCTGTGGAAAGGACTCAACAACATCATACCTGTGGGCGACAACCTGGTTAAGAGAGGAATTGATATCGACCCTTTTTGCAAAATTTGCGGAGAGGCCCCAGAATCCCAGGAACACATGTTTTTTCATTGTCCTAGAGCTGTTATGATCTAGAAACTTGCCCCGATTGACTGGAAAGGCCTGCAACCGCTCACAGACAACTTCAAGGCTTGGTAGACCAAGCTCTCTACCCTTTCTAATTCGGAAATCGCCAAGCAAAGAATCCAATTGACAGCGTTCCTCCTCTGGGAAATTTGGAAATCGCGTAATCACTGGGTATTCAAAAACTCCCTACGGCCTGAACTGTCGGTGGTGAATGTAGCGGTTAATAGTTGGTTAGAATTCTCTTCGGTGTAGCTTTTTGGTTGACTGTTTTTCTGTTGTTTTTTTTCTCTTTAGTGGGCTGCTCACTAGGGTCACTGTGACCAGTGGTGGGCTACCGTTTTGTTGCCTCTTTTGGATAGTTTTTGCCGAGGCCTGGGTTAAAATTAAACTTTGGGTTCATTGCCTTGCCAATGCTAAAGTTTGACCACTTAACCATTTAGTATTTGCTAGTTGCCTTCTTTTTGTCACAAGGCCCCTTTATGGTGGTCCTTTTGTTTATTGTCTGTCAGGCAAGTTAGCCTTCTCGACTGTATCTCGTTTTTATTGGATGAGTAATATACCCTATCGTTTCGAAAAAAAATGAACAAAAAGAAAACAAAATAATAGCACCTCATTAAACACATTAAGGAGGAAAAAAAAAATAATAATAAAGTTTCTCGGTCATAATAAAATACTAGCCATTTCTTGAAATAAATAAATAAATAAATCTCGAGAATCAGAATATATATATATATATATAACTAATTAAACAACACACTATACTGACAAAAGGAAATATAATGTTGGGTAGAGCTCGAGTTTTCCAACTATATATAAAGTCCTTTTTGCAAGTGACTAATGGCATCCACGATCCTATAATTCATTCAATAAAAAATTAACATTTTCTCTCATCGACATCATTTTCACATCATCTTTCTACTCAATATCATTCTATTTAAACACACACTCACATTTCGATCCATTCATTTAAATATGTACATGAGACCCATTATCCACTAGTTTAGTATAAGTTTTAATATTCTAATCTCAATAAAAATAAAAAATTAATATTTTTGAATAGTAATAAATTTTAAATTTATGAAAATAAAGAAAATAACTTAAGTTAAAATTATATAAGAGAAAAATAGTAGAACTAAAAAAATATATATATTTTTTTTAGTTGGTGGCAAAATGAGTCCAAAGAATAAGGGATAGACAATATAAATTATTTATACATATTAAGAAGTGTAATATAGATAAAATTGAATTAAATATATAAAAATAAAAAAAAGTGATTACAAATCAATAAATAAAATAATTGGGAAGTGTGATTAATATTAAATGTAAGCAAAAAAATATAAATAAAAAAGAACCCAAAGTGCATTAAAATTAAATAAAAACAAAAAACAAAAACAAAAAAACAAAAT